AGAATATACAGGTTTCTTGAAAACAAGATAATAAAATGGAGATTGAAGTCATTAATAAAAATAGTGTCTTTTTTGTAAGTATAAAACGTAAAAAAATAGGATATACAGGTATCTTGGGAACACTAAAACAAACAAGATAATAACAAGGAGATTAAAACCATTATGAAAAAAGGGTCTTTTTGGTAAGCATAACGTAAAATTAATTAGAAAACTCAAATCAAATGACCTCAGGAGCTGGACTTCCAAGACGTCAAAAAAGAAGAAAAAAAATTACCGACATACGACCTAATTGACATTCATTACACGGACATGCACAGACACAGAAATAAATGCATATCTATCAGTCTTAGACACGTATATCTACCGTACAGATAGAAAAATAAATGTAAATTTATTTGATAGATCGATAGAAATGCATTTATTTCTGTGTATATGGATGTCTGTTTATACTCATATTCATTGGGTCGGGCCTTGCACAATTTTAACAAACCGGCCGATATTCTACCTCCCAAGCCAACGGTTTTGCTCTCGACAAACACTTAACCTAAAAATACATAACCAGCACGGTCCTAACTACGCCATGATCGCCACATAATCTCACGAAATAGCCGAGATTAAGGCAGAGGGATTAGAGATAAAGTCGGTAAATAATGAAAGCAACATGCGAATTATCTTTAATTTCCCGCGTGGTTCGGTGAGATTAAATGGCTGCTGTGATGCATGGCGGTCAATAGGATAACGTTGTGGGTCGCCGTTCGGAGAAAAGTACGTGGAGTGACAAAAAACGTTTTTATTTCCGAGAACTATATGAGCTATAAATCTCTCTCTGTCTGTCCTGTCTGTCTGTCTGTCTGTCTGTCTGTCTGTCTGTCTGTCTGTCTGTCTGTCTGTCTGTCTGTCTGTCTGTCTGTCTGTCTGTCTGTCTTCTGTCTTTCTCTTCTCTCTTTCTCTCTCTCTCTCTCTCTCTCTCCCTAAACTCAAGTAACCGAATCATAATTAAAAAGAAACAATTACACGGTGGGATCGTAAACTTTTAAATAGAGAAAAAATACAACCGCGAATAAAGATCAGTTTTGAAACAATTACACAAGGGAATTACCGCGGGAAAATTCAAACATTTTTCATTTTTAATTTACACCTGACTATCGTATATCTAAAAAAAAAAAAAAAAATCGCAAAGAAACCTCATGACATTGAAAAAAAAAAAATGGATATATATAATCATAAGCGTCGCATTAAGGTAATTACGACAGCTTAATTAAAAATCACCCAGGCCAGTGTTCGGAGCCCCGGTCAATGGCTTCGTGGACTCGACAAATTTTACGTCTGGATTTCAGTCTTTCTTTTTTTTTCGTGTAAATTCTTTCGACAAAATCGGGTTTCGCTCCCGTGAAAAAAAACAACAAAAAAACAAGCCAACGAAGACAAAAAGCTCATGTAAAATTAGGCTGGCAAAGCGAGTGATTTAAATGTCTTTAATGACAATCGGGATAAATATGATAGCCTTATCGTAATAATAGAAGAGAAAATAAATGAGTAATGATGATAACGATGAAAGTCCTCATCACTCCTACTAATAGTAATACTTATAACGATAATGGTAATAATAATAATGCTACTACTACTATTGTTCATAATAATTAGAACAACAACAATATTAACAGCAATAATAACAACAATAACAAAACAACAATAACAACAATGAAAATAATAATAACAATAATAATAAAAGTAACATAGTAACAACAACAATGATAAAAGTAATGATAACAAAAACAATTATAAAAATAATAACAATGATAATCATCATTACCACAACCATCCGGCGATAAGAATGATAAACATAACACTTCGTAACAAAACAAACAATAACCGTCAACATTATCACCATCGAAAAAATATATTTGCAGAGTGATGGCCAGTCCTTGTCCGGCCCTCAGAACAAAAGCTTCTCGGAATTGCCTAAAAAATGCAACTTGAGTTTATTTCTCAAGCTCTAAGGCATTGGCGTGCAGGCGAGGGGTGGGGGGGGGGGAGAGGCGAAAGGGGAGTGGTCTGTGCATCCAAATGGGGAGGGGGGGGGCGAAAAGAAACGCCATTAAATGAAGCATTAAAGTCGTATTGGAATGCAGTATTAATCTGTATATTATCATTTCTAAGTAACAGCAGACTACGCTCAATGGAAGTCCTCAGTCACGCTCATCTACTCTCGGACCCTAAGCCAGTACAAGCATGTGTCCGCGACTGTTATTCGTATTACAACCTTTTCAATCACCAGCACACGCGCTCAGTTAATGACAGGCGGAAAGGTCACCGGCTGTTGCGTGGGCGTGGGGAGAAGGGGGGAGGGGAAGGGAGGGTGGGGGTGCACTGATAGGGAAGGGATGGGGAGGGAGGGGAAGGAAGGAGGGCGGTTCTTTTGGGGGGAAGGAAGGAGAGAAGGGGAGAAAGGGAGGAGGCGCTGATGGGGGAGGAAGGGGAAAAAAGGAGGGGGCGCTGATTGGGGGGAGGGAGAGAAGGGGGAGTCACTGAGGGGGGGGCAGGAGGGAAAGAGGGAGGGGGGTAGGAAATGGAGACGGGGCTACATGCCTTCGTGTGAGACTATCGCGTCCTGTTCACGCCATTCCGCCTGCTTATTGTCTACTGTCTCTCCGTCGCTGTCTCGTGTAAGAATATAGAGTCCGGACTGGGTGGGAGGACGTAAAGCGAATGAAAAAAAAACAATTAAAATCAAGGAAAAGGATGAAAGCCGACCATTAACGCGTCGCCAGAACGAGTTAAACAAGCTAAAATAACAAAGGACGAAGAGAGCGCAAATCAAACACGGAAGTACAGTTCGTTCCGGGAAATGTCGACACGAAAATAAATGACAAATCCACTCGTAAAAAAAAAAAAAAAAAAAAAAAAAAAAAAAAAAAAAAAAAGCCGGAGGGAGCTCGGGCCAAATGGAACCGGCTTTAACAGGACCCCAGCGCCTCTTCAGAAGGCAGGACGCCACCCACCGGAGCCCAGAAGGCGGTGGGCGGCGCGGACCGGCCGGCGTCTCCCCGGCTTCTCCTCCAGGCCGCCTCGGTGTCTGGCGAGGGGGCGCCGGAGAGACAGGTACGTGATCATCCTATTCTCCAGCGTTCCCCTCCTTCATTTCAGCTGCGACGGGCACTTCCTGGCTCTGTGGATCGTCTTCCTGGTCTAATTTCTCTCCTTAGACCTGCGCCATGGCTAATACCCTGTCCCTTTCCTGCAATTAGTGTCCGCGATACGCCGCCGTGTCTCGGCCGCCGTAGGAGGATAAACTGCGAGGCCCAATTTGTGCAATTTCCATAATGCCGGACCAATTTAGCTTCATAAATTGCAGAAAGGCGCTTCGGTGTCCGGCAGGCGCAGGTTTCTTGCCGCCGCCGCCGACCGCCTGCCAACCACACGCATGCGCAGAACGGCCATTACTCGACACGTTGAAATGGCAGGGTCAAGTTCAAGGATTTGGGCGCGCGGCTGTCTCTTCTCGCCCTTCCTTGTTATTTGTTCTTCTTCTTGTCTCTGGCGATTTGTTTTCCTTCCCGGTCCATGCTCTTGCACGGGGGAATCATCTCATGAAATGTTCTTACTCCAGTCGCTCTCTGACACACTTCACGCGCATGGCAGTGGCTATTTTTCAATATGTATGTCACAAACTCTATTTTCGACTAGTTCTTTACAGACACTGACTATTTGCGACTAGTTATTTTACAGAACGACTAGTTATTTACAAACAATGACTAGTTCCGCCTAGTTTTTTTTTTTTTTTTTTTTTACTTAGACACAATTTCCTACTAGTTTGTTACAGACACTGACTATTTTCGACAAGCATGATTCACACACAGACTATCCTCCACTAGTATGTAACAGACGGAGACGCTCTTGGTTCCACAACGCCAACAATCGTTCATATCCTGGAACGCAAACGACCAAACTCAGCCAATTTAACGAGCGAAGTTGTACAGCCAAATGTCAGAACCGCCAAACAGGGTACTTACACTCGTCTATTAATGATTTCAGAAGCAAACGTTTTTTTAAACACAACAAACAACACGAAACAATGGCGCTAAAGCAAGTACGGAATTTTAAAAAAGTGGAATAGGTCTTTATTTCATCAAAACAAAATAAAACAAAACAAAAAAATGGCGGGACGCGGTAATTCTGAGAATAATTATGAAATTAATGTTTATGACACAAATTTTACACCAATTTGACTTTTACTTTAGAAAAAAATTACCCCGAAAATTACTGGTACATTTATAAGGAAAGTTTTTTTTTCTTTTTCCTTGTCTTTACACCTGTTTTACTTCTTTATTTCCTAAAATAGAGATTATTATCCTTACTTATTTCACTTGTATCTTATACGAGTTTTACAAATGTAATTTTCCTTAACACATGTTTAGCGTTATTTTTTCCACATCATTATCACCTCATTAGTATTCACATTATCGTTATTTATTTTATTAATATCTTATACGTCATCTCTACCCGTCTGAGTTATTTTTTTTCCACATTTTATCTCAAATTGCGTCTTGTTCTTTCTCTTTCTGATATTCAACGTAATCTTCCTTCTATCTAATCAAAATAATGGAAAAAGAAACAATAAGAAATAACAAATGATGATAAATTTCGAAGTTTGAATAAGTCCGACCCTCTCCTTCTCTCTCTCTTTCTCTATCTCTCTCTCTCTCTCTCTCTCTCTATTCTCTCTCTCTCTCTCATTCTCTCTCTCTCTCTCTCTCTCTCTCTCTCTCTCTCTCTCTCTCTCTCTCTCAATTCTCTCTCTCTCTCTCTCGCTCTCTCTCTCTCCCTCTCCCTCTCCCTCTCCCTCTCCCTCTCCCTCTCCCTCTCCTTCTCCCTCTCCCCTCCCTCCCCTCTCCCCTCCTTCTCTCCTTCTCTCTTCTCTTCCTTCTCCTTCTCCTCCTCCTCTCCTTCTCTCCTTCTCTCCTTCGTCCTCTCTCTCTGTATCTATCTCCCTCCTCCCTCTCTCTCTGTATCCTCCTCTTCTCTCTCCCTCTCTCTCCCTCTCTCCCTCCCTCTCTCCTCTCCCTCTCCTCTCCCTCTCCCTCTCCCTCTCCCCTCCTTCTCTCCCTTCCTCTCCTTCTCTCCCTCTCCCCCTCCTTCTCTCCCTCCCTCTCTCTCCCTCCCTCTCTCTTCCTCTTTCTCCCTTCTTCTATCTCTCTACTCTCTCAAAAAAAAGAAAAAAAAATCCAACTAATAACCAAATAATTACGCTAATTAACAGATTAATCTAGAACCGGCGAATAATAGCACACCAAACCGACGTAATTGCGAAGAACAAAGTAAAACGCACGAACAGACACACGAACACACGTCCACGACCACCACCAACATAACCCTTTAACAACCTTGAGAAAAATGTAAAAAAATCGATCGACAAAAATAACTACACGACGAAAATACAACAACAATAACAAGAACAAGAACAATAATAACAACAATAATATTACCAACAGCAACAAACAACAAGAACAATAACAAACAATAACAACAACAATAATAACAACAACAAAACGAAGGAAAACATACCAAACTAACCAACATATAAACATCACCAACGCCAATATATTATCCCCAACAGCCTTAGAGAATAACGAAGAAAAAAACAAGAGAATAACTTTAAAAAAAAAAAGCCTAAGAGAATAACTTTAAAAAAAGCCTCTGAGAATAACATCAAAACCCGAACATCTTTCGCCTAATAACATCACAATCTCAACTCCACAAATAACGTAAAAAAAAAAACACCAAAATAACATCAAATAACATAACACAACACCAAAACCCGAAACAGCCTTAGAGAATCAACTCCCCAAAGCATCCCACACATCCCCTCCAAAACAGCCCAAAATCCCCCCCAAAAAAAGCCCAAAAATCCCCCCCAAACAGCCCAAAAACAGCCCAAAATTGCCTTAAATCCCCCCCAAACAGCCCAAAATATCCCCCCAAAAAACAGCCCAAAATCCCCCCAAATAGCCCAAAAATCGCCACCAAAAACAGCCTTAAATCATCCCCTCTAAAACAGCCCAAAATTCTTAAAAAAAACACCAAGCCCGACCATCCTCCAGAACAAAGCCAAAGCCCAAACTCCCGACGCTGAGACTCCGAGGTTGGGAATCCCGAAGAGCCCGAAGGAGTCCGAAAGAACCCCAAAGGGAGGTCGGGAGGAACACGAAGGAACCCGAAGGAACCCCCCAAAAGCCCAATAAGTTAGTCCAAGGGAACCTGATGAAGCACCTCCCCCCCCCATCAAAAAAAAAAAAAAAAAAAAAAAAAACGAAGGATCCGAAGGAATACCAAATACCATAATAAAAAACAAAACAGCCCAAAATCCTCCCCAAAACAGACCAAAATCACCCCAAAACAGCCCAAAATCCCCCCCAAAACAGACCAAATCCCCCCAAAACAGCCCAAAATCCCCCTAAAACAGCCCAAATCCCCCCAAAACAGCCCAAAATCCCCCCCAAACAGCCAAAATCCCCCCAAAACAGCCCCCAAAATCCCCCTAAAACAGCCCAAATCCCTCCAAACAGCCCAAAACTTAAAAAAAACACCAAGCCCGACCATCCTCCAGGAACACCAAAGCCCAAACTCCCGACGCTGAGCCCAAATCCCGAGGGAGGCGAGGGGGAATCCCGAAGGAGCCCGAAGGAGTCCGAAAGAACCCCAAAGGGAGGTCGGGGAGAAACACGAAGGAACCCGAAGGAACCCAAAAAAGCCAAAAGGGGGAGGGGGGGGAGGGGGAGGGGAGGGGGAGAGGGAGAGGAGAGGGAGAGGGAGAGAGAAGGGCGATATATATGTAGAGAGAATGAATGAAGGAGAGAGATGGGTAGTGAGAGTGAGAGGGAAAAGGAGATAGAGAAATAGGAGAAAGAACAAGAGAGAGTGGAGCGAGAGAGGAGAGAGAGAGGGGAGCGTGAGAGGAGAGAGAAAGAAGGGAGGTAGAGAGTGAATGAAGAGGGAGAGAGAGGGGAGAGGTGGGTGAAAGGGAGAGGGAAAAAGAGAGAGAGGGAGGTGGTGAAAGGGAGAGGGAAAAAGAGATAGAGAAATAGGAGAAAGAACGAGAGAGAGAGGGGAGCGAGAGAGGAGAGAGGTGATGGACAGCTCTTCAACAGAAAAAGACAAATATTTTTTCAACAGGGGACGAAGCGTGATGCAGCGACGCGAACGTGTGACAAGGGACGTCAGGGAATGACAACTTCATAAAACTTCAAACATATAAACAATAAAACCCATTTTTTTATCTTTTTTTATCTATCTAACAGATTAAGATGTTCAACCCCTGTCTGATCACCCCAGCTGGACCACGTGTCTGTCCTGCAAACACGAAAGGTTAAATCAGACTTCACTGTTCTCGTTTATCTTATCGTTATCGGGCAGACAACTTGGCTTTTCTCGTCGTTGTCAGCACGTTGTCAGGGCGCGGTGACTGACGCCGTTGAAGTACAGAACGACCCACGCGTACCGCCGCCTCGTGCATGTGAAGCCTTGACCCCGATATCCTGGAGTTGTAAAGACCGAGACCAAGGTTGTCGTAGCGAGACCTTTTCCTCGTTCAGCTGGTTCCTTCCTCCTTCACTACCGTCTCTCTCTCTTCCCTCCTTCTGCCTCCAGTCTCTCTCTTCCCTCCTTCATCTTCCGTCTCTCTCTCTTCCCTCCTTCTGCCTTCAGTCTCTCTCTTCCCTCCTTCTGCCACCTGGGTATGTGTGCCCCTTCTTTTCCTCGAACTCTCCTCTTCCACCATTTATCCTCTTCACTCTTCAGTCTTGTCACTCTTCTCTCCCTCTCCTCTCCACTTTCCTCCCTCTCCCTCTCCACTTTTCCTCCCTCTCCCTCTCCACCTATTCCACCCCGTCCTCCTCCTCCATCCTCTCCTCTTCCTCCACCCTCCTACCTCCCCCCCTTCCCCTTCCTGTCTTGTTCCTCCCGCAGTCATCTTCTTCTATCCACTTTGAATATTTTTTTTCATCCCTACATGGCCAACAAAGAGCAACAGTATTGACAAAATATAAAGAAAAAATTATTCCAATCCAAGTATTCGGAGCAAAAAAAAATAATAATAATAAAATAATAATATAATAATAAAAAATGATAATAATAACAATAAATAAGAAACAGACAACTCATTACTACAACCCACGCCGATCCACATAATCTAAATCCAAGTATTAAACCGACCTACACTTTCCCTGACACATACACCCCACTGCTCCCTACCAACACTTCTACCACCTCACACCTTGACCCTTACACCCTACTGTTCACTACCGACACTACTAGCACTTCACACCTTGACCCTTACACCCTACTGTACATTGCCAACACTTCCAGCACTTCACATCTTAACCCCTACACCCTACTGTACATTGACACACTTATACCCTTCTCTACACTCCCACACTCCCACCACTCACACCTTGACCCTTACACCAACCCTACCTTGTTTACACCAGACACTACACATTACCTTGCCTTACACCCTCCTCTACACTAGCCAACACTTCCACCACTCATCACACCCTCCTCTACACTAGCCAACACTCCCACCACCTCACACCCTCCTCTACACTACCAACCCCAACCAACACCTCACACCTTCACCCTTACACCCTCCTCTACACTAGCCAACCCCACCCACCCTTAACCCTCACACCCTCCTCTACACTACCCAACCCACCAACACCTCATACCTTCACCCTCACACCCTCCTCTACACTAGCCAACCCCACCAACACCTCACACCTTGACCCTCACACCCTCCTCTACACTAGCCAACCCCACCAACACCCCACAAACCAACACCCTCCCTCTTCGTGTCGTGAGCATTGCAATCAGCTGACTTCGAAGTGTTCATTAACTCATCACCGTGACTTCAGCTGCCTAATGAAGTCATGGGCGAGGGCGATCACGTGACAGAAGGAGGTGCATCAGCTGATCGATATCCTGAGGAAGTTTCAATCACAGGAAGGTTGTAATCTGTGATATGAAATTGGTGTCAGAACACTCGAAGGATTAGCGATAAATGGAGGATGGGAGATGAGAAATTGGGGAAAAAATGAAAGGAAGAGAGCGAGAAAGATAATGGAAGGAAGAGAGTGAGAAAGATAATGGAAGGAAGAGAGCGAGAAAGATAATGAGAAGATAATAAGAGAGCGAGAAAGATAATGGAAGGAAGAGAGATAGAAAGATAATTAAGGGAAGAGAGAAATAAATATAAATAAGAAGAAGAGAGAAAGAAGGAAAATGGATGTAAGAGATACAAATATGATGAAAGGAAGAGAGAAAGAAAAAAATCGAGGGAGGAGAGAAAGAAAGAAAAAGAAAGGAAACGATAGATAGAAAGGGAAAAAAATAAAACGAAGAAAAAAAAGAAAAAGAAATAAATGCAGAAAGCAAAAAAAAAAAAAAAAAAAAATATAAGAAACAGAAAATAATGGAACAAAGCACATTGAAGGAAAAGAAAGAAAGAAAATATATAAAGAGAAGAAAATGAGCCTTACGCACTGACAACAAGAGACACTCATAACGGCCACTTGCGACGAAGGACCACCATTGTCTCGACACTAACGTCACGCCAAAATCTCGTCTATTTTCGTTAATAAAGAGAGAACCCGCATTTGAAGAAGATTCGCGCCCTGCACCCCGCCGTCACGCTTCCTCGAACCATGATATCAATTCGCGCTTAATATCATGTCTTCGAAGTGATGAAGTCCTCTCCCCTCAAGGCCGTGTCACACTAGCACTTTTTCCGTCGATTTTATGACAATTTTATTTAACATGAATATAAACATTAGTAGAATATAGATCTTGATTTGACTTTGCTTGGCTGAAAAAAGTTGACGGAAAGGTTTTCAAACGGAAACGATCATTATCGTCTGACTGGAAAATCGACAATTCGCTCAAAAATTGAAAAAAAATCAGGAAATTGTAAAAAAATGACATTTTATTTAACATAAATACAAACATT